CTGTGTACAAGTCCTCTGTTGTCATACACCCTTGGCTCCTACGAATCTAGAACCTGTCTGATCTGGTCCATATTTCCCTTCTGTCCTCGTACTGTGGTTAAAAGTAGCTATACTGCCCGGACTACAGGCAAAGAAGGCAAGAAGTAGCACTAACAGGTCTAGTATTGCACCACCAGTGTTACATATGTATAGCAGAATATATAGATAGAGAGATAGAGAGATAGATCTATCTATATCTCTATCTATCTATCTATATCTATCTATATATCATTATGAATTAGGAAAAGTAACCTATAAATAATGTTTACGAGAACTGGAATTAATAATCAGGTTTATTTCCAGATTATGTTTCAATGTTATGTATTGACTTATTATGTTGATCTGAAATCATCAGTGGTCTGAGAGCTCCTCCTCTGGTGGTTTCATGTTAGAACTGTTCAGTGAGGGGTTTTTGTTCAGCTCTAGTGAAGGGTTGTGTTACTATGGCTCTCCAGTGCAATAACAGACAGCAGAGTCCTCTGGCTTGAGGTTGGAAAGGCTCAGATGCACCATGCTGTTGCTGTTGTCTCTGGTGATTTCTATACGTCCTTGCACACTGCTGGCATAAACAGTTTTACTTGCATCATACCAGATTGCTCCCATCCATTCTAGCGTCTTTCCTGCTGGTTGTCTGATCCAGTGCATTCCATACTGGCCAAAGTCAAAACCAGACCCTCTACAGGAAAGACTGAGGGCTTCCTGAGGCTTTTTCAACACTGACGTGGAGGGAATGGACTCCAAAGCCTGACCATTTAAACCTGGAAAGAACCAGAGAGATGAGTAACTGGGAGAAAAGAGTCACTTCATAAATTAACAGAAAATAATAATAATAATAATAATAATAATAATAATAATAATAATAATAATGAGTCAGTTATAAAATTATATGACTTACAGGGTAGACAGAGCACTGTCACCAGAGCAGAGAGTCTGAGCATCATCTTGAAAGTGAAGTTGTGAAGGAAGTGCTTCCCATTAGACAAGATAACAGCCAGGCCCTACGAGGACAGAAGTAAGCCATCTAAATTTTATTAGGGAGGGACTAAAATGTCAGGCTTAAAAATTATTCAAATACATCTTTAAAAAAGTTTGAAGGTGCGATGTAGTATACACACGTGTACACACAAAAACATCTATAAAGGCAGACACATCTCATATTATCTTTTAAAAAATACTACCTGGGATAGAAGTGAAGTTAAATGATTCAATTAACATTAATTTATGCTTATTACATCAAACCTATTATTACTAATTTAATTATGTCCTGTTGATTTTTAAGTGACATTTTATTTCTTCTTATTGTGCTGATCTGAAATCACATCTCTTGAATGTGCCATGATTCTCTCTTTCTATCTTTTTTTTTGTATTCCTCTAAAATGGTTGTTCAATGTTTTTCAATATTGTTTTTCATGATAATCAAAAGTATTTTTTATATTCTAAAAGTATGCATTCATAGACAATAAACACAGGTGTTATTGTGACAGTGAGTTGAACATCATATTTTTGATCATCTGTTGGCCCCTGTAGGTTCTTGTGAAACTGTATGGCTGAAGGTTTTTGTAAAGCGTCTGTCATTACTTAAACCACTGTTTGTCTTTCACACAGTAATACACAGCAGAGTCCTCTGGTTTTAGGATGGAAGTGTCAGATTCTTTCCAAGCTCCTTAGACTCTCAGATATGTCATGCTGTTGCCGTTGCTGTTGTCTTTGGTCAATTTCTATATGTCCACTCAAACTGCTCACATATTTGCCTCTTCTGGAATCTGAGTAGCCTTCTCCTATCCATTCCAGTTTTTTTTCTGCTTGTTGTCTTATACCATACATAGAACAGCAGCTAAATGTGAAACAAGATCCTCTACAGGAGAGACTGAGAGTCTCCCCAGGTCTCTTCACTACAGGATTGGAAGGGATGGACTCCATACTGTGACCTGTAACACTGAAAAGATGAAAACAGGCAGGAACAAGTGAGACATATAACTGCAAAATGTTAAATATCATTAACTGACCATCAATCAGTTTGTCCTGGTACGTAATGAAATAGTAAGCAGCACATGAACTCAGGGGGAAGTGAAAAAGTGATCAATGAGGTTCAACACAAATGTTATGGCAAAGAGGAGCCAGGACACTGGAACCTCTGTAGCCAACTTCCAAAACTATGTGACGTGCCCTCTGAAGGTCGACAAGAAGATGTGAATCCTGCATGCATTACAGATAAGGTGACTGTAATGCAGAATCATGTCAGGTGCTGGGGGTGTCCTATTTTTCATACTAGAAACCCTTTTGTTGATGTCTGCAACTGTGATTCCCACCCAGTGACATAATTCAGGAACTCAGTGGTGATGTGGTGTACAACACTGGAGGCTAACTTCAGGCCACTGGCACAAATCACCATCAAGTGTGGGATCTATGATGGAGATGTCCTGTCCCCACTGCTGTTCTGCATAGGCCTGCAAGCATCACCCACCTGCTCTACATGGGTGACATCAAGCTGTATAGCAAGAGCGATAGAGACATCGATTCACTGATCCATACCAGTAGGATCTACAGCAGTGACATCGGAATGTCATTTGGACTGGAGAAGTGTAGTCAGATGGTAACAAAGAGAGGGAACGTAGTCAGAACTAAGGGGATCACACTAACAGAAGGCAACAATGTAGGAAATTAGTTTTTTGAGTTTTTTCACACTTTTTGTTTACTACATAATTCCATATGTGTTCGTTCATAGTTTTGATGCCTTCAGTGAGAATCTACGCCATAAATAGTCATGAAAATAAAGAAATACCATTAAATGAGAAAGTGTGCCCAAACTTTTGACTTGTGGTGTATTAAATACTCATATTTCCCCTATTAATAAATTTATTTGTTTCAGTTGTGCATCCAGGCCAATTGTACCAGTTACCAGTTCAGAGGTTACCAACGGTAAGCTTTAACGTGTTTTGTGCTCTCCCTGCCAGTTGTGATTTCGTCTAAACCCACAAGGTACACAAAGACAGGGAGTTTACAGATTCACACGGACACTATATATGTTTGCAAAGAAGAAGAGTCTTTGTGCTTTCAAATGAATGCACCTCTTCATAACTCCATGCCATCCCATCACATTTATCGTCATTTTGAAATTACAACATGAGTAGTTTTTCACATAGAGGTGGCAACTATATTGCTGCTACTGCACATTAAGCTTTGTCTCACTCTTCTGGGAAATCTGAGAAATACAACATCTTGGTGCATGAAGCAATTTTCTGAAGGATAAACATGGTGTTTATTATTATTATTATTATTATTATTATTATTATTATTATTATTATTATTATTATTATTATTATCATCATAGTAAAAATGCAGAGTATAATTTAAAAATTGGACTGGAATCTTACATGTGTCATCATAATACGCTTTGAGGAAAGAGTTTCTAAATTCAAGAAGGAATTAAGGTATTTAGTCATTAGTTTCCTTTGTTCGTTTTTGTATTTGTTTTCTTACTTCATCTTACATATATATGTCACACTAAAACTAAATCACAAAAGACATTGTGTAAAGCATAAACAACACAATTAATAACAATGGAAACACAAAGTATTACATGTTCGTATTAGTAATGTTTAGTGTTTAGTCTGCACCTCAAAGAGTAAGAGCTGCTCCCTGAGTATTTCCATGGAGGACTGTTGGTTCCCAGTGGTTCCCAAACTTTTTTTGCTGGGCCCCCTTTGTTTTACAAGAAAAATGTTTGTGCGCCCCCGCGTGCACGCATATACACACGCAGTTACTGTCCCTCCATTTACAAAGGCAGATGCGTCACAATGTGATTATTTTAGGTGTAGGGGAGACCGGGGATAGTTGTAACGTGGGTCAGTTGTAACACTTCTAATTTCTCCAATCAGGGCTAAGTTTCAAATGATGTGACTCATCCTGTACATGCCCAATTCAGTTCTGCTATCACATGTGAAAAATCAGCACATTTTGTCAAACACAGACAATTTAACACGGAAAAAAGTAATTTGTATGCCAAAAAGTAAGTTTTTCTACTTTATTTCAATTTCTAATTGCATTATCTGCTTTGCAGTTAAACTCATCAAACTTAAATTGTGTTATTTGTATGTCTATGGGGATATATTCTGTGTAGGTCTTTAGTGCTAATGTTTTAGCCGTTGGCTGTAATGTTTGCTAGTTCATGGCTATAGGAGTCTGGGTCAGTTGTAACAGCAACAGTCTGGGTTAGTTGTAACAATAATGCAGATGTTGCAACTTACCACACTATTACTTTAACTTATATTAAACAAGTTGGGGCAACGACATCAGCAGAGAGAGGTTCACTGGTCGCATTTGTATATGCGGTTAATGCCATTGGCAACACAATTCCTCCACTGTTTGTGTTCCCACACATACATTATGCAGACCTCTCTGTCAGAGATGGACCAGTAGGAAGTACTGGTAGTGGAAATAAATCAGGATGGGTGCAAGAAACAGATTTCCTCATCTTTCTGAAGCACTTTGCAAACCACACCAAGGTAAGCCATGATAAAAAGTAATGGAATTGCGATGCTGGTGAACTGGTGAACTACATTTTTTCAGCTTCATTGTTATGTTCAAAGTTGGTGCAAGAGTTGTAGGTTATAATGCCCACTGAGCCAATGAGGCCAAACTCAAGGAAGACCAACCAAAATTAATGAAATATTCAGTTGCAGAAAATTCCATAATTTGTCTTTTTTGGGGGGTTGGAATATGTTCAAAAGCTAGATTTCTGCATTCTGTCACACACACACACACACACAAACACACATACACACAGCTACATGAATGGCTCTAAGTGCATTCATGTGTTGAATAAACAAAGATTACATGTTAATATTTTGTTAGTACCCTTATTTCATTGTGTTACATTTCACCCCGGGATATGTTACAACTAACCCAGACTATGGGGTTAATTGTAACATTTCACTCTTTGTGTTTGAAACCATACCATGCATTGGGGAATTGGGCTGCAGAGAAAATAGCTGCACTATTTAATAGCCGAGACATGTAAATACTTTGCATTACATTTTGAATCCACTACCTTAAAAGAGCTCCAATTTACAGACAGAAATGTCAAAAATGTTACAACTATCCCCGGTCTCCCCTAGTTGTTTTTTTTTTCTGTGTAATAATATTCAACATTGCTATCAATACTTTTTTTTCAAAAAATGCCTCTGTGCCTAATGGGTTTAAAAACATAAACAACTGTGGCATACTAATACAAATCTTCACCATATTTTCTAGTCTTTGGCTTAGAATGAAGTTGGTTTGGAAACATATTCAGCTATGCTTCATCTCCTGCTTTGCGTTTCTGTAGGTGCCCGTGCTAGCAGTGTCCAAGCGTTTTTGTTTTTTTTTCCCCCTTTTCATCCAACGCCCCCCCTGCCATGGCTCTGCGCACCCCCTAGGAGGCGGGCCCCACATTTTGGGAAAGTCTGCACTAGGCAAACAAGCATTAGGATGTCAGACATAGAAAGTTCAGAGGCAGTTGGTTGCATTGTCTTCACTGTTGGCACACAAAGGTCTTGAAAAACACAAAAGGGAGAGAACCATAAAAATATAGTCACAACCAGAGGAACATCAGATCAGATCAGATAACTATTTATTGTCATTGCACAGTCATACCTAGAACAACAGTAGAACGAAATTGACCCTGCAGCCATGCTTTTGCCTCCTTTGTTTATGTTTCCTCTTTGGCTTGCCGCTGGGAAGATCCAGCCATGGAGACCCTGGAGTTCTTATTATGTCCTCCAGAATGCCATGGAAGTCCGACATAATGTTCCTTGCAGAGTGCAATCTCAAACTCAGAAGGTCCTGATGACTGTAAGTAGACTGTACTTGATATAGAGTAGTAAAACACACACACACATATATGTAAAAAATATAAAAAACAAAGCACCAAATGTGAGAAGCAGTGAGCCGCTGCATCTCACTGATGCATTGCCATCTTATACATGAAGTTTTAG